TACAACAACTAAGTCACGTCAATAATCAATGTATCCCTTTCTCACATGTGTACGGCCACTCTTTGTCACATGTGTCCCCCTATCAGTTAGTCTTTAGCCGCTCAAGCCCTTACTCATGGTTCTGCCTATCTATACTTCCAACTTGTTTGTGGGCTCGACTAGGTGGCAAGTTTTCTCTTTCTTCTATCTTTTAATTTATTTCTCTTTATTTATCTCAAAAATAAGATTATTAAAATTATATAAATTCACATAAGCTTTCATAATTAGCCAAATTAACCAACTAAAAACTATTTTTTATAATTTGACATAAATATAAGTCTATTTATCATGAGTTTAGATTAAAACTATATTATTAATTAATTATTAACTCATGATAATGAAAACTTATCAATATCTTCATTAAAGTATATATTTTTTGATTAACATCAAACTTATCCAATGATTATATCCTTGTATTTGTATAAGGATCAAGAGAATAGATTACTTGATGTACTTAGGACATAGAGAGAGGTGATTGGTTGGTCTCTAGCAAATATTTGAGGACTTGATCTATTTGTGTGTATGCACATATTTTATCATGAGGAGAACTATCATTTCCTTACTAGCTTTTGTTTCAAACATATTTTATTGGTCGAGTGCTTTAGTTAGAGAACCATTCAGGGGCAATAGTGTAGTAGATGGGGCATAAAAACCAGAATTTTCTTCCCTTTTCCCTTCTCTCACATGCATTAAGGACAATGCAAGACTCAAGTAGGGGGGAGGTTATCTCTTCCTTCATTTGCACGCATTAGAGATAATGCATCATTCAAGTAGGGGGGAGAACAAAAAAATTCAAAAATGTTATGAATATTTTAAAACTTTTGCTGCATTGATTATTTGCACAAACACGTATGCTTAAACGAACAAAGCCTAATGCTCCTTTAAAAGGGTAAGTCAGTTAGAAAAGTTTACCTTCTCTAAATTAGGGGTGCGGATCTCATGAAAAAAAGATAGGTGAATTCTTTACCATGATCATTATTCTTTGAAGTATGAAGGAGTTTTTGGTTGTATTCATGGGTATGTGGTGTGATAATAAACTGCTAATGATAGTATATTGTGGATGAAAACGATTGAACTAGATCATCTTAGTCTAGTTATTATGTTGTGGTTGATAAGTCTTCATTATCTGTATTTACCTTATATTTATCAATATTTAGTGCATAAAATTAACAGAAATAATACATGTTACATTTAATTCATATGCATTCAGATCATTCATACATAAACATGTATTTTAATATTTTAAAAATTATTTTAAGATAATTAATTTTTAAAATATTAAAATACAATCGTCCGGACAGATGACAAAACAATCATCGTGAGGTAGCCTAGGGCTGCAGCTCACGATCGGTGACAAATGTAGCACAGTGTCAGAAGTCACAATCTGATAACCATCCTATCTTGTCTACATTCTCCTGATAGCGGTGGAGATGAGCTGAGAAAACCCTTCGAGAGATAATTAAACTTAAGAGGAAGGGGTACAGAGCTAACCTTCGGGGCTGTGTAGCCTAGTAGATCGTGATGGAACAAAGATTCAATGAAGGTAGAGACGTCTAGTGAAGAGCAATGCTCAGCATTGATGGTCGGTCCTAGTCCAAAGTCACAGAAGTCATCGTCTTAGGGCGTGGCACAGTCGGCATGGGCGTGGGCCTATAGGTGGGCCGAAGGGCACGCTAACGGGCATGGGCCCACTGGTGGGCCGAAGGGCATGTTAGTGGGTGTGGGCCCGCTGGTGGGCCGAAGGGCACGCTAGCAGGTGTGTGCGGCAAGCCGTGCAGCGTGCCCTAGGGAACGCGGGCAGTGGTGCGGGGTGGGCGTGTGGGTTGTAGGAACCAACGCGCGAGGCGCATGCGGCGGTGGCGCTTCAGCGGGAATGTCAAGTGTCAGCGGTGCTTCGGTGGGAGGCCGAGCGTCAGCGGCGCTTCAGCGGGAAGGCCAAGCATCAGCGACACTTCATCGGGAAGGCTGAGCGTCAACCGTGCTTCGGCGAGAATGCCAAATGTTGGCAGTTGGGTGGCAAACCAACCATTGCCGAAAGGGTCGGCCTTCTCTGGTGGCGCCGAGAAGTGGAGTAGAGGAAGGAGACGATCCAGCCAGCGATACCAAGGAGGGTTGAGCCCTCCTAGTCTAGGCAGCACCAAAAACAGTGCGATGACGGCGGATCGTCAGGAAACTCTGGCAGGGGCCTGCAGAGCTTGGACTGGATTTGGCTCGTCGACACGGCAGCAGGGTCTCTTCCGATGTCGGTGGCAGATCGGCGTTCGTCAGCGAATGGCCAGCGACTGGGTAGAGTGGCGGAGGGCGGCTCCGGCGAGTTTATGGTGGAGTTCCAGAGGAAGAGGCTGCAGTCGAACCAAGAGTCGAGAGACTTCGACGGAGTGCTCAGCAACGGCTCATAGTGAGGCAAAGCAAGCCCCTTTCGTCACGACAGTGTGACGGGGTTCCAATAGAGGTGGCGGTGGCTGCAGCGGCAGCCACGACCATTTCGTCTGGTGATGGTGGCGAGCTCCTTGGTGGCAATGAGATGGCCGGCGGCAGCAGTGGTCTTAGGTGGTAGTGGGACTTCTCAGGCAGTAGCATCACAAGGAACGAAGTCCTCAAAGGGGGTATCGATGGCCTTCCTCTTCCTCCTTTCCTCCCTATCCTAGATCACAGAGAAGGTACTCACAAAATGATAATCTCTCTCAAAAATATAGTGCTCTTTTGAGGGGGGTCCTACCTCCCCTTATATGGGGGCCCACAAGTGGGCTAAGGGGAGGTGGGTCCACTTAAGACCCTCAAGCCCATAAGCCACAAAGGCTACAAAAGGGGCTTATTGGGCCTCTTAAAGAGAGACCCAATAAGCTCCCCTAAAAGGAGAAAGAGGGAGACCCTCTTATGGTGCTTAAGTGGGCCTCAAATGAAGACCCAAATAAGCCCCAAAAGAGGCCCAAAAGGAAAGACACATAGGTTCCCCCCCTTAGGGTTTTAATTGGGCCTCAAAGAGAGACCCAATAAAATCCTAAAGAAAGGGAGACAAACAACAACACACACATATAGAAATGGGCCCGCTAACACACAAATGTGAGGCCCAACAAGTCAACATGAAAATACAAAGAAAGATATGGGTGAGCTTGAGCTCGTCATCATCGTGAAGGTGGAATGTTGTCGTCCCAAAGGGCTAGGCCGCATAGCGAAAGCCAAGCTCCTTCATCTTTGTGTGTTGATCGGGCTGAACTCAGACTACCGATGTCTCCTAAGCTAATGGAGATGGGTCTTGCTCGCCATCATACTCCTTCGATACATAATAGATAACATGGATTTTATTTTACAGATTTTTCACTTCATGATCTTGATGGATAGTACTTACTTGATGTGAAAATTTGATTGATCATTTGAGTTTAATGGAGATTTTTGTACCCTGATCTATAGGACCTGTGAGGAAAAATTACTTATTTCGAAAAAAAATAAAAAAGAGAGAGCAATATGAAAAATCTAGAAACGAAGAGTACACATAGAGGGTGTGAGACATCATTCTCATTATTGAAAATCATGCATAGAAAAATACTTACTGCAAAATAAGTGGATAAAGTGAAAGCCCTGAAAATGAAGTGTACACATAGAGGGTGTGAGACATCATTCTTATTGTCAAAATTTTTCTACGAAAAAAGCTACTTATCCACTATATATATAAAAAGAAAGAGAAGGAAGAAATATAGTACAAACTTCAAAAATAAAGCCATGAAAAAAAGGAAATATAAGATCAATATATATTCTTGGATGAGTATTAATAATTAGAACATCTTGTAAATATATCTATGAGTGAAGAAGTGATAAAGATGTGAATAGAAGAAGTGAAGTCTAGATTGTTATTCGAAGAAATGCTTAAACATTTAAGTGCTTGACATCATTCTTAAATACTTGATATAAGAATCTAAAGTGTCTAAAGGTGCATCATTTCTGATTGTATTTTTTTTCTTTTTATGTATTGAAATATGATGTTTGAGATTTGTAAATTTTTATTTTCGTAATTCCATTGCTAAGGGACTAATAATGATTTAAGTTGGGGGGTGTGGTAAGTCTTAATTATCATGAGTTAATAATTAGTAAATAATATAGTTTTAGCCTTAATTCATGATAAATAGACTTATATTTATGTTAAAGTGTGAAAGGTTGTTTTCAATTGATTAACGTGAATTTTTGGGTAATTATGTGGCTTTATACGATTTTACATGATTTTTATAGTTTTACTTTTGAGATAAATGAAGAAAAAGAAATTAAAATAAAAATAAGACAAAATGGGGGGACCTGCTGGCCAATTGGGCCTACAAGTAGATCAGAAGTGCAATCGGGGAGTAGCTGTGAGTAGGGGCTCGAGTGGCTTGGACCGATTGGACACATGTGCGCCACCCCCCTTCCATGTCACTAGTGGCCAATCAACTGTGGGACAAGGAGTGGTCATACACATGCAAGAAAGGGACTTGATCAGAAATGTAGTATTACTATATATTCACTAAAAATTTCAGCACACAATTGATGTGGGACTTTTTAACCCACGTCACACCTCCCCAGAAAGGGCGAGGATGCAACCGGTGCAGGTTCAAATCCTCCCAAAGCCAAAATTCATATTTTATTTATTTGATTATCGTGACTTTCCTACAGATCGTTGGTGAAGAATTAAGCAACTAGAATCACTGAATCATTGATGAAAATCTTGTCAACACGATTCATGGAGCATTGTTACTAAAATTGCTAAACGATTCGCGATAAAAGCATCACAAATCCATCGAGTAACTCATCTCTGATTGATCGACGAACAAGCTATCATTGGGAAGAGGACAATCTGTCGGGAGACGAGTCACCACCTCTTGAGAGCATACTAGATGCAATGAAGAGCCTCCTCTCGCTGCACAGATCTGAGGATGAAGCTTCTTGACACACACCTCACCTGCATCCAGCTCCTCTTTGTCGGGTGACAGCCACTAGAGAGCTGCAAAGTTGTCATTTTTCCGTTCCACTAGGGGTGACAGCCGCCAGAGAGGATTCAACAACCCATTCATTGATCTTTAGACTTTGCAAGGAGATCTAGAGATTGCTCACGTTGTCTTTGTCCAAGGAGAGCCTTCAAGGCCATGGACACTGCACGACAATCCTCCCGAATGCTCAAGATTCTGGTGCATCGCCGACGCATCACCGCCTTGACGTCGGAATTTTATTTTCCTACTTTCAACTTAATTTTCATTCCATTTAGTGATAATTTGTTGATTTTAAATTTACAAAGATATACTTCATTTCATTACGATTCTTCTGACTTTTGTAAGAATCACTAGGTGGAACTCTATTTTCACCCGATTTGCATTCGCCAAGTGCTAGCATCATCCTGATGTCTACACCCGTATTTCCTTTTTTTGTAAATTTTAAATATATTTCATTTTCATTTACTAGTATAAAATTCATAGAAAATAGTATTCTTTGAGGACAATTTTGAATAATTGCCAGATACTATATTACATCCCTCTGATTGACCTAGAAAATTACCATTATTTTTGAAATTTTTATTGAATTATAATTGATATATTTATTCAGAAATATTTCTAAATATCTGAAAATTCATATTTTCTAGTTTTATAAATTTTACATTTGCATGATTTATAATACAACGACTAAGTCACATCAATAATCAATGTATCCCTTTCTAACATGTGTATGGCCACTCTTTGTCGCATGCCTAATTGGTCATTGGTGATGTGGAAGGGGAGTGACACACATGTGTCCCCCTATCAGTTTATCTTTAGCCGCTCAAGCCCTTACTCATGATTCCACCTGTCAATGCTTCCAACCTATTTATGGGCTCGACTAGGTGGCATGTTTTCTCTTTCTTCTATCTTTTTATTTTATTTCTCTTTATTTAACTCAAAAATAAGATTATAAAAATTATATAAATTCACATAAAATCCCATAATTAGCAAAATTAACTAACTAAAAACTATTTTTCATAATTTGACGTAAGTATAAGTCTAAATATCATGAGTTAGGATTAAAACTATATAATTAATTAATTATTAACTCATGATAATGAAGACTTATCAACCATCTTCACTAAAGTATGTATTTTTTGATTAACATCAAACTTATCCAATGATTATATCATCGTATTTGTCTAAGGATCAAGAGAATAGATTACTTGATGTACTTAGGACATAAAGAGAGGTGATTGGCTGGTCCCTAGCAGATATTTGAGGACTTTATCTATTTGTGTGTATGCACATATTTTATTGTGAGCAGAACTATCATTTCTTTTTATGCATTTCCTTACTAGCTTTTGTTTCGGACATATTTTATTGGTCGAGTGCTTTAGTTAGAACTATTCAGGGGCAACAGTGTAGTAGATGGGGCATAAAAACCAGAATTTTCTTTGCTTTTCCCTCCTCTCACATGCATTAAGGACAATGCAAGACTTAAGTGGGGGAGGTTATCTCTTCCTTCATTTGCATGCATTAAAGATAATGCATCATTCAAGTAGGGGGGAGAACAAAAAAATTCAAAAATGTTATGAATATTTTAAAACTTTTACTGCATTGATTATTTGCACAAACCCATATGCTTAAACGAACAAAGCCTAATGCTCCTTTAAAAGGGTAAGTCAATTAGAAAAGTTTACCTTCTCTAGATTAGGGGTGTGGATCTCATGAAAAAAAGATAGGTGAATTCCTTACCATGATCATTCTTCTTTGAAGTATGAAGGAGTTTTAGGTTGTATTCATGGGTATGTGGTGCGACAATAAATGGCTAATGATAGTATATTGTGGATGAAAATGATTGAACTAGATCATCTTAGTCTAGTTATTATGTTGTGGTTGATAAGTCTTCATTATCTGTATTTACCTTTTATTTATCAATATTTAGTGCATAAAATTAACAGAAATAATACATGTTACATTTAATTCATATGCATTCAGATCATTCATACATAAACATGTATTTTAATATTTTTAAAATTATTTTAAGATAATTAATTTTAAATAATTATGCATGAAATATTTTTATGTGAGTTTTAGGATTTTCTAAATTTTATCCTGGATTTTTTGATATTTTCTAGAATTTCTCATAATTTCTAAGAGGTTTTGATATAAAGGTCTAAAATAAAAGAAAATCAGAATGAGTTGGGCTGGGCCGAGCCAAGTGACCCAATGGGCCGGAATATTCAGAGGCTAAAAGTTAAACCATCAACAGGTCGACAGTGGAAGCAGAACCGACGAGTTGGCATGACACTTAAGCAGATGTGGGACACGTGGCCCACACGGGTTCGACGACATTTCAACGGACATCGTGAACAGAAATTGGCACAATTTACGTCAGACCTCAAAGAGAAATGTAATTGGAGATCCGTACCTAATGGCAGAACGTGAAAGAAGAGCGGGTGATAGAGTAAGGCTGTCATTGATCTCTCTTTCTTTCGCGCCTTTTCTCGCTCCCTTTGTCTGTCTGCTCTCTCTCACTCTATCTTGCTCTCGCTTTCTTTCTGTGGATGCGTCCTCGCTCTACGAAGCACGGCGGAGTTCGGACAGCCTGCCGCCTTCTCCTCTCCTCTCCGTCGAGTTCTTCTGGAACCCTTTCTCGTGCGCGAATCCGGAGGAAGAGTGGGAGGCCGCATCCGGCGGAGGAGTCCACCGCCGAAGACGCCGAGGTCACGGTCGGCGCCGCCTCACGGAGAGGTCGTACGTTCCCAGGCTTCTGCTTCCCTGAAAGGCCGCTCCGGGTATGTTCTAGTGCCGTCTTTCGACGAATTCTCGCCTTTCGTTGATTCGGGGGTTATGTTCTAGTGCCGTCTTTCGATGGGTTCGTGATTTTCTGTGTCGGGGGCATCTTCTTGTGGACTCTTTGGATGGGATCTTTATTTTCTTTGATTTGGACTTTCGGTTGCCTGCGGTGGTGCGGGTGGTGCGAGATTGCTGAAGAAAGCTCTGGCTTTCCTCCTTCCTCTTATTTATTTACCTTCTTCCGATTTGTTTTGCCGCTTCGTTGCTGATTCGATTTGATGTTTGGTCTGGGTAGGGGGATCTATCTTCTTCTTTAGACTTCCATCCGATTGCTCTTTGGGGACGGATGAGTGTTACCGTCTGGAGGAGAAAAGATTATTTCAGCAAGGTTTATCGATTGACGGTGACGGGTGAGCGTGTTGAATCAAGGGGCACATTCGATTTTCGGATCGCTGAGCGATCGACCAGTTTCTGGAGAAGAACCCGGTGATTTCCGGCAGGAAACAACACCCTCCGTACCTGCAGCTCTCCCGAGCGTTATTCCCCACCCAGAAAAACCATCAGAACTTGGTGGCGGGCTGTCCTGTTGAGAAAGCAGCTGGAATCGAGGGAGGAAGTGTGGACGAGGTTGTCGGGCTACAGGAGGAAGCGAGGATGTCTCCCATCCCGGATCGGGTACATGCTTCGACGTCCCTCATTCCTTTCCTTGACGGCGACTGTAGAGAGCTTTCTCTCTCCATCCCAAAGCACATCACATCTTGACAATAGGAATGTCCTATCCAAAATCGACAGGTGCAGGTCGGAAATTCTCCATTATACAAGGTAGAGAGAATGTTGGGTGCAGGAGGTTTTGGGCTGGTCTACATTGGACGAAGGGTGGCTGGTGGATCTCAGGGCGATGGGCCCAATGCCTTTAAGGTTTAGTTTCAACCTCCCATCACTCCTGCCAAGGGAATCTTTAAATACTGCTGTTTTATGTTGTCTCTTTCATTTTCCTGCGGTGGGTGTAGGTAGCACTGAAGTTTGAGCATAGAAATAGCACGGGTTGCAGATTTGGCCCCCCATATGAATGGCAAGTTTATGAGTAAGAAGACACCCCCTACTGCTCTAATTTATTACGTATTGTGTCGATCTAAAACTACGTTCTTCATCTGACTTTGTGAATATGGTTTTAGCCATCTCAAGGGATGCTATGGATTGCCTAGGGTGCACTACAAGGGCCGCCAAGGAGATTATTTCGTCATGGTTGGCGTAGAGTCTTTCATTTTATTGTTTCCTCGAATTATGTTTTTTATTGAAAGCTAATTATGATATTGTTGATGATGATTGCTGCAGATCATGGACATCCTTGGACCAAGTCTCCTGGATGTGTTCATATCCATTGGGCAAGTGTAAGAAAATAATCTTGACTTCATATTCAAAGTCAATATTCTGTTGAGAATTGTGCTATTGAGTTTGACTAACTCCTTGGACAGAATGCCACCAAATATGGTGGCTTGTATTGCTGTGGAGGCAATATCCATCCTTGAGAAGCTACACCAAAAAGGGTACGTATGGCTTTGTGGCAGTGTGATATTTTTTCAATTAAATTTTTGCAAAGGTCACAGTAATCAATTCATTGCTCCCTTGTGCACTCCCCTCCCTCCCTCCACCCACACAAAAAAAAAAACATGCCAGGTTTGTGCATGGAGACGTCAAGCCAGAGAATTTATTGTTGGGTAAACCCGGAAGCTCAGGGGAGAAGAAGCTTTTTCTCATCGACTTTGGGCTGGGTATGTTGCTGCATTCCAATCACTTCTTGTTTTCACCTTTCGCACCTATTGATTTTAGAGTAGGGTTTGTTTTTCCAAGTATATAAACAAATTCGTCTTGACTGAGAAGTCCCTGTCTGTATCAACATCAGTGATATTTTTGTGCTTTGTTCAGAGCCTGTACAAATGCTAATTGGTGTCATTAATATTTTAATCAGCTTCAATGTGGAGGGACAGTTTGTCAGGCCAGCATGTCAGCTTATGCCAACAGCCAGATAATTTCAGGTTTTTTGGGAAACGATATTCTATTTTTTCCCTAAATTCTTAGCTAAGAGGAGGATTCATAAAATCTTACCCCTACCTTACTATCTATCTCATGTTCCCTAGGGGCACAACACGATATGCAAGCGTCCATGCACATTTAGGCCTCACAGCGAGTAGAAGAGATGATCTTGAGTCATTGGCCTACACTCTGATTTTTTTGATTAAAGGAAGGCTGCCGTGGGAAGGCTATCAGGTTTGCTTTCACCTCTACTTGTACATGTTCTC